TATAGATCTAATTTATTTTTTATATTTCGCGATACATGGAATATTCTCGTCGAACCTCGATATTTCCGTGTAAGCTATTGAACAGTTGCAATCACCGACGAGCAAATCCGTCGTCTTTCCCGCTGCAGCGGGATGTGGAGTCACGGTGAAATCACGGATCTGTTACGCCGGATGTCCCAGAATGTCCGAGATAGACCGGCGATCCTCCATTAGAAACAATAGGAAATAAATGAGGGAAAATAACAGTTTGTAGTTTCAGTAACGAGGTTTCCAAGTTGCAGAGTGCATTAAAAAAGATGGGATCGTTTCTTTCGAGTTATATAGACAGAGACGAGAAGAATATTGTTCGCCAGTTAATTTCCAAGAACATAAATTTTACGGAACTTAATTCGAGAGAGATGCTCGGTTCTCAGCCAAAATATTCCCATTAAAATTTATATTAAAAAATTCCTAACGGATAACGTGACTTCTCACAGGACGCTTGTCAAGGAAAAATCTAGCAGGAGTTGAAGGTCTCGACGGGATGATGTCCGCCGGGACATCCCGCGTATGAGCTTACTCACGTCCAATAGCGTGTAATAGTATTGGTGGGGGGAATACCGATATAGGGGTGACGACGTGAATGTCGTTTCCTCCGGATCGATGGCGACGATTCCTTCGCGTATCGAGCGGAGAAATCGAAGCGGGAGAAACGACGCAACGATGGGGAGCAAATGGTAACGGTCGTAATAGCGAGGTACGTGTTACTCTACCGATGGCTTTCTTCGCTGCCAGTGAAACTGCGCCCGGCATCCGCCATGGGAGTTCCACAGGTTTTTTCGGAGTCGCGAGTCTCTCCATCCATGTGGTGATGTGATAAGTAAGTGCGCGCAACGGCACCGCGAACGGATCCCTCAGTCTGGGCTCATCCCGCGTCATCGGTAATGCCAGGAAGTATATTCGCTCTATGTTGACCGGCCTCCTCTTCCTTCTTTTAACCTGAAAATAGTTCGCGCGATCGATCGAGCGAGCGAGCGAGCGAGCGAACGAGCGAACGAGCGAACGAGCGAACGAGCGAACAGCGGTTCTCGTTGCCGCGACGCGTCCAACACTTTTATCTAGATCGATTAATATTGATTTATGAGAAAGCGGGGAACGCGACGGATCGCTTACGGGTTTCCTTTTGGGTCTCGCGGCGACTTTGGGCGCAGCTAGTCTCTTCAGAACCCGCATGTGCCTTTCCCAGTCTTCCGGTTTTGCGAGAGCTCTGCGCAGTTTCGCCATTCGTTTTCTCCTGGGTACATGAGCCAGGCATTTTATCGTGGAAATTTGAGTTTAAAGACGCTTAGTAGGAAAAAATCAACCGGAGATTGATTAACGTTCCGTCAGTGGCTTAGGAAGTCTCACATCGTTAACGGCGTTGCGGTTTATCTCGATCAATTTATTTCGGCAATTTACACGTATTTTGAAGTTGGAATTATTATTACAAATCCTTGTTGCTTCTGCAATCGCAACATAAAAATTTCTTACACTTTTATAACGCGTCGATAATTTTAGAGATTGAAAGTGACGATGATATTTTTAATTTACAATTTAATTAACAATTTAGAAGACTACTAGTGACTGACGGAAAATTCAAGAATATACGGATGTAAAGCATGGCGGTAATTTTGGCGAATTGTGGTACGTGATACGTACATATCGCGGTTGATCGTGGAGAACTATTAAATTGATATTTCTGATTGTAACCTGATCAATGATCGTAACCGTTGCAATAAATGCTCAGGATAAACGCAATCCCTACAATTTCATTCTGTACTATTAATAATTACTTCCGATGCAATATCAGATAACCTTTCGTTAATTAAACGTAGAATTTGATGCATTCGGTTCATCGCGATCAATATAGACGGGTTTATAAGCTTACGTTTCATTACTTGCCCGCCGATATTGTTGCGGCTTTATGAAATCACGCTAATTATTAAACGGGTAATTAATATCGTTCACGTTCATATAGCTAAATTATTTGTCCCGGAGCAATCTACGTGCGGGATCCATTTCGTCGTTAAAATTTATGACGGTCCCGAAATTGAACGTGCGAGAAAGAATGGAAGAAGAAAAAAGGAAATACGATAAAATTTTATGATAACTCGATTACTAAATTTCGCGATTTTAATACGCGCTTAAAATAGTTGCATCTTTTTGTATTCCTCTCGTTCATTCGCGTCGATTATTCGCGCAAATATGGCCGAGAGATTGTATGTGCCTAGGATGCGCGTGTCGTTCGCAGAGAAAAAGTGACATGATGGTGGGAAATGTATCGGCCTTACTTTTTCCTGGCTTCTCGTTCTTGACGCGCGATGCAGAGTACGCGATACCGTTGGTACCGCGACTTTCGAACCTTCAGCAGCAGATCGCTCAGGGTTGCCTTCATCTTTTTGGTAGCTGCCAATTTCATCATCTCCAGCAGAACTCTAACGTTTAAGATATCGCTTTTAAGTCAGCACACATATTTTCATCGATCAAGTCTTAGCTATCAATTTTCCGAAACGCCATCGAAAGTGCGATTAATATTAAACTCGCATAAAATAACCTTCGTATTGTGATTTTTAAGATAAATTTACCTATGAAATTTGAAAGTGGAAATATTATATAAAAATATCTTAAAATATTTGGGTTGACTATGAGTATTTTGTAATCTTCCTTTGGTCTATCTTTAATATTAACGAATTTGAGATGAATCGGAGATTTATTTTTAACTCGAGAAGTTCTTATCGAGACCGTCTTCGGAATATCGAGGAAATAGATGGGCACCTTCTGTTGGGCAATGCCAGATCGACGACACGTTTGCTGCTCTTCGCCATGAGCGTCTTCGGGTGGATGCGCGGGTAGGGGGGCGGCGCCGCTCTGCGCGATAATAAATTTTGTAGAGGACTCGCGATAACCTGACGAGTACGAGAGCGGACGACTGTGCACTTACGCGGGATCGTATTTCTTGGTTACGAATTTCGGTTGTGCCATAACCCGGATGCGCCTCGAGGTGCGGCCCCTGAGAGCCGCGCGCCGAACTCTAAAAGGACGTGCCTGAAAATACATATATATATATATATACATCGATATACTATAAGTACTCCGAGAGAGAAGAC